CATTACTGTTTCATTAGAAACACTGATGCAGCTCACCCTAGTTTTTAGCTAGTTATCTCTTCTGATATGTCATTTAGCTATAATATGACTTACTGTAGATCAGTCTAGAGGGTTGTACGGTTTGATGAAATTGCCAATGGGGAGTTGGGGAGCATAACTTGCATATTCTTTGATACCTGTAATAATTAGCCTAGTGCATCCAGTAGAATATATTTTGGGGAGGAGGGTGGAAAAGGGAAGTGCTTGGAACCCTTAGAAAACAGTTCCAATCACCACCTCATCATTATATTTTTGTAAACATAGTAGAAGGGACATCAGAAGGGAAAAAAACTTGGGGAATCATTGCACAAATCTTGTGGCATACTTGTATGTATTGTATTTTATTAGGAAATGGGGATGTTTTGTCCTATGAAGATGCTATGCTGAGACGTGAACAGACAGGAGTGGCTGGTCTTATGATAGCTAGGTAGGTTTTGAACACCCAGAGGAGTGGGATTCTCCCTCTCTTTCTCTCTCTGTCTCTCCCTCTCTTTCTTTCCTTGCCTTTCCTATACTCTCTTTTAGTATCCTGGCCGCAAGTAGCCTAAAACATTGATCAAGGAAATGCAGAACTTTAAGTACGATATTTATCGTTAACTTTATATATTAATATTAATATTTGATGTTACAGAGGATCTCTTATCAAACCTTGGATTTTTACTGAGATCAAAGAACAAAGGTAAAAACAAATGACCAGTATTATACTAAAGGTTGGGAACAGCTGGACTCGCTGCATTCCCCACCTCAGAGGCCTGTCATTGTTGCGCTTGGTTGATAAAATGCCAGAGGCTCTGGAAAACCCAAGCATACTTTTATAGCCAATCAAAATCAATCTAATGTAATGCACAGATATGTGTGCTCTTGTTTGCAATACCATCTAAATGCAGGGCGTGCATGGTAAAATTGTCAGGAGGTCAAGAGTGAAACTGCCGATGTGGAATAAAAATAGTTGCTTTTTCTTTGCCTCTTTGAAAAAAATTGCGTCTGTATTGGTGAAACTGAAAGAGAGCACTCTCACTGTTATGTTACCTGGTAGTATTTCTCTTGGAAAACTGCTTAGGTTTATAAGAAATTTTACCTCTAAATCCAATGTTTTATAGGCACTGGGATATTTCATCTCATGAAAGATTGAACATGCTTAAAGAATTTGCCAACTGTGGTTTAGAACACTGGGGCTCAGACACTCAGGTAGCTAGTATGGATAATAAGATATTATAGTTTTGAAATAAATTAATGGTTCGGGATAATGGACTTAATTAATTAAGCACGATTCATAATCATGAAGATAATCGTGCACCTTTTGTGTAGCCAACCTTTTTCCTTATATAACTTAACCCATATTTACGTTCTGCTGCTCGCATGCTATCATTGACTGACTACTATTCTTTTTCTTGTCGTTCGTCCGTTCGTTCTTCCGTTCGTGCGTTCGTTCGTTCGTTTGTTCGTTCGTTCGTTCGTTCGTTTATCGTTCGTTCGTTTGTTTGTTTGTTTGTTTGTTTGCTATGAAGATTAACAATAAACATATTTGCATATTACAATGCTTCTCGGTCGTAAGTTACAAACCTCAGACACCCATTGTGCCAATCTTGTCATTACCCACGAATACACCAGGATAGAGTGACGTCAAAGTGAAAGTAAAGTATCTTGACCAAGGAGAGAGCGCAGGCGAATGGGTGAAGAATGGAACCCACGTCCACACACACCCAGTCTTTTTAACAATGCATTTCGTTCCTCACCCCAATGATTTCCTAAGGTTCTTATATGCCAAGGGAAGGAAGTTCAAAATGAAAGGCAACGGCCTAATCGAGTTAATTGTCCTCTTCCTTCTCGTAGGGTGTAGAAATAACCAGGCGTTTTCTTCTTGAGTGGCTGTCGTTCTTATGCAGGTATTTAGATTACAAATTGAACAATCTGCTTATGGACGCTTTTCTTTACCATGCAGACACTGTTTGTGATCCTAGCAGAAGTACTTATAACATCAGGGGCTACAATGCAACGAGCAGAATAGTTTAAGGAATCTTTTTTATAGAGCGTATAGCTAGCCATTGTATACGCCGATTTCAAAAAAAGACGTCATCGCCAATAGCCAGCGTAGCGGCTCTCGGGGGACTCTCGCGCTGGCTACATCGCCAAAGGCGATAGGCATTAGACGAAAAGCGATGAGGTAGGTCATTCCAATATCCAAGAATAGCTGGAATGACTTGTGTTTCTTCTTCTTATCATTCTCTTCAAGAACATGGAGTGTTGAGACTGATCCAATGTTCTCTGTATTCAACAAAACCATTTCCATGTCTCGGAATGACCTATCACCTATCGCCTTTGGCGATGACAAAATTTTTTGAAATAGGTGTATGCTGCTATGTTATATGGTCATCTAGCAACGCGCACTCTTATTGGTTCAAAACCGTGCCTTCACTTTCCCTCAGCATCAGCGTTTTTTAACCCATTTCAGTCATTTTTAACACCCAAAAAAGCTCAAGGCTACCCAGTCCGGCATAGTTATTATGTATTGTTGTTTGTTATCATGAATGAATGTTCGTATTCATATTATTTGTTGTTTGTTATTTGTATTATAGGTACATCCCTGTTGGGTTACTAGAGCGTCCACCTCAGCGCATCAATGAACGCCCCCCTTATTATATTGGTCGTGATGACTTGGAGACACTAATGGCGAGTCGTTACAGCGAGGACTGGATTAAAATAAGGTGCGCCACAATTTCATTTTTTTTATGCTCCCCTCCCCCCATCTTTTTCGAGAAGTACGGTTCCTCCTCGCCACTGCGTTCCGTGAAGGGATTTTTCCCCCATAACGTTACTGTTTATTAAATATTAAATTTTGAGGTGGTCAGTCTTGCAGATGATGTCAAGTTACTAGGTGTAACTATCGATAGAGATTTAAAATTCAGCAAACACATTACAGAGATAGCACGGAAGGTTGGCAAGCAAATTCAAGTCTTACAAAGACATAAGAAACTAATTAATACTGATGCCAAAGTCAAATTATATAATGCCTATTTTTTACCTCATTTAGATTATTGTTCTATTGTATGGCATCATTGCGGGAGAGGTAATTCAACCAAATTAGAAAAACTTAATGAACGCGCTTTGCGTTTTATTTATAATGATCATAAAAGCACATATGAGGAATTATTGTTGCGTATTAATCATCCTACTTTGTATAATAGGAGAATGCACAATATTTTAATATTAGTATTTAAGGCTCTGCACGGACTGGTTCCTGAATATATTTCTAAGTTATTTACACTACGTAATTGTAGCATTAATTTACGGGGTGATAACATTCTTATAGTACCTAGAGTAAACACCACTAGTTATGGTCTTCATTCCTTGGCTTATCAGGGTAGTAAGTTATGGAATTCTCTTCCAAACAACATGAGATTGTTGCACGAATTAAGTAAATTTAAATCGGAAATTTCCAAAGTCAAATTTGATATTGACTGTTGTACCTTTTGTAGAGGATAATTCTATTTTAATTTTATTTTACATATATACATATATTTATTTCATTGTTTACATCCATATTTTTATATTAGCATCATGTAATTTTAATTTTTAGTTTAGGTTATTTATAACTTGGAGATATTAGCATGTACTTGCTATCTTGTAATTCAAGTATAAATAAAGTTATTGTATTGTATTGTATTGTATACGGATCGGGATGAATAGTTAACTATCGGCCGGCTTTTCGTTATGAAATGCGCGCCTATAAAACTTTATAAAAACTTCCCATCATATAAATAAATTGATAGTACATCTGTAGAAATAATAATGCGGGGTAGGTAGCCAGGGCTGTAGTCATGGTGATAGTGCAAGACGTAGTCCTCGATATAATCCTGAATTATATTATCATTCCGTCTTGAAGAAAGAATAAATGGGTTACGCATCCTCTTCGCTCCTTTGGAAACACAGGACTTTCACTATTGTCCTCCATGTCACTCTGTTCTCTGCTGTTTTCTTTGCCTTTTCCCAAGTGATGTTTGCGTTCCTCAATTCTGTCATGTGTGACCTCCTCCATGATTGTGTTGGCCTCCCCACCTAAATATGATAACTTTTTCACGTTCTAATTCGTTGGTGTGGTTCTTATCAACAGTGAGATGTTGTTGGGTCCTGTGCCAGAAACATTTACTTTTCTTCCAAAACACAAGGCCAATTCCTATGCAACCGACTGAAGTGTCTACAAGATGAAACGATCTATAGTGTCAGAAATCTTTTACTGCGCCGACCAAGCGCGCTACAGATACTCACTTTTTAACAAAGATGCACAAGGCCAATTCCTATGCAACCGACTGAAGTGTCTACAAGATGACAAAATCTATAGTGTCGGGAATGGCTTTCTGCGCCAAGGAAGTGCGCTACAGATATTTATTTTTCAACAAAGATGCACAAGGGGGATTCCTATGCAGCCAACTGAAGTGTCTCAAAAGATCACAGAATCTATAGTGTCAGGAATGTTTTAGTGCGCCAATCAAGTGCGCTATAGAAGTCCATGACTAGTCTAGTTCTGAACTTCTAGCGCTACAAATATTCACTTTTAAACAGAGGTGCGCAAGGTCAATTATTTAGCGGACTGAAGTCCTCACCTACGACGAGCAAGCTTGTAGTCAATATCTATTCAGTTTTCAACAGGCGAGAGTGCGCCAAACTAGAAAACCAAAATAAAGTCTCTGGATGCACGACATGTCAACATGAAGCTTGTTGTTATCTTTTTACCTCAACTCAAAGAATACTTGATAACGAAGCAACAATGTCTTCAACCGAAGCGCAAGGCCTGGTCCTGTTCAAGGAGAATTCATTGCGCACATAATAACAATTTATGCAAGATGGGCTCGTACTTCATGTAAGACTACATGAAATGGCACTATTGGATTATTACTTATTGATTATCGATTATAACGTCCTGAAACCCTAACCCAAACCAAAAAACCCTAACCGTAAACTTTATTACGGAATAGTGCCATTTCATGTAGTCTCACATGAAGTAGTAAGGTCAAGAGGTCTTAATAAGGCGCAGAAAGTAAATGTTTTCACCATATTCCTCGAATTGCCACAGTTAATGCCATTATTGTTCCTGAAGCTGCTTTTTTAATTGCTCTTGTTAATTCGCTCATTACCCAAAAGCGCAGACTCCAAGGAGGACTGTATGATAAACCCTGTGGACCACTGCTGACTGGACCAGGCGCGCAATGTAATGTGTTGTGCCTCGATTAGTTTTGTTTTTGGACTTGTGCATGCATGTCACATCTTATCTGATACGAAAGTAATAAATTTCATGTTATTGTTTTGGAGTTCGTTTACTAATTTTCGATGATAGGAGCTTTGTTTCTAAACTCGGTGGCAAGGACGGCGTAGCGCGGGTTAAAAACGTTGGCCTTCCGCCACTATTGTGAGTCACTGGTTCTCTGCTCCCTGAGGACTAAAAGCCTTTGCTTGATGTGTTGTTCGCTCCCTTTCCACTAGGGCTTTTCTCCGGTTTTCATTGTTCGATTCGAAAATCAACATGCAGGTTGAGAGTTGTGTGCTTAAGACCTTAACAGCGCCTCTCAATAACACGGACGAAATACAATACAAGTACAATTTTTTATCGCGACATAAAAATATTTTGGTGGACTGAGAAGCACTGCTAAGTGTAGTTCCGTTCTTTGTACTTGTGACTGTTGTTACTTGATCAGTACCGGGTCGTAAACTTTACATTCTTTGTTTCGTAGAACTTTCAACTATTTCTTCTTTTCGTAGAATTAAGCGTCTTGAATTTTTTATCCTCCTGCCTTTCCTCTCGATTTCTCCCTCTTCCCCTTCCTTTTCCTCCCTTTGTTACTGAAATTTCGGAATCGGGGAATAAGAATACGCTATACTAGTTTTTGCTAATAACATTTGTACAATTCTAGTTCTTTCCTCTGAAGCGTCAGTGACGTGTTTTTTAGTGGATAATCCATCCAGCATTGAAAGTATCTCGAGTAACTGACTGTGCTTCAGTACAGGTACCTTTTGACGTGAACAATAATGACGTGGCTGGAATGATGCTGCATAGTTGCGCACAGTCACTGGTGAAATAATACATGATTCAAAAGTGACCGGTCTGTATGATTTTATTCACTTTTAACAAGGATTTGTCAAGTGAAGAGCGTTAATTTTCTCGCTACCCGAAGGGCCAAAAATTTACAAAAAGCTAATAGGAGTCCTTCACTTTATGCCACTGTTAGTCGACTTTCATAAACAGAGGTAGGTCCGGCCATTCATATAGTTTTTTTTAAATCTGGAAATCGTGTTATCCGGAACCATTTACTTTACTACCTAAGATTGCACTTAGATGAAAGAGTGATTTGCCCATCACTGGAAGATGCTATCTGAAACCCAAACTAGACGGCTAACATTTCCCCCCTTTTTCCAACATATGACTTCATTCTATTGCCCAACGTAACTTTGTGCATGCCCGAAGCAGCTCGATCTAGTTTTATTCCTAGTTTCAATTTTTTCGCCCTAAAATACCACAATTCATCAATGATTCTTATATTTTGCGCAACGAGTTTAGTTTTCCGAGGCACAAAAAGCACTTTTCCTGTTAGCCATGGCCCGTAGCCGGCTAGGCGAGCAATTTTTTTGCGGCCTTGAAACCGATGCCGATGCGGAAAGTTCACTGAAAGTCAAAAACGTTTTATTTATCCAAGCGATAGAAAACTTTAAAACTTGTAACAATGAAATTAGATTTAATATTTCCTTAAATATAAGAGATCTAAGAAACCGAAGCTTTCTTTAGAGGTTTTCATAGAATAGATGCGATTTCGAATCCAAAATTGAATCTTTGAGCGGAAGGCCGGAAATGACTGGGGTTGCTAACAATCCTGGTAAATTCAACAATATGTTCCACCCCCATATCCTAGGTAATGACGTGGCACATGTGACGCGCCTACTCAGTAACGAGCTTCCTCTTCACAAAAACCTGGGCCGCCATTTTGATTTAGGTAAAACCTTTATTCGCTGAATTTCGTTCAAAAACTCATATTCAAACCCCTAAAAAGGTCTTTCTAGTAACTGAATTTTATTTAGATCGTTTAACTAGACTTAAGTTAGTCCTTTAGTCCTCTTAGACATTTTTTAACGAGTTTCTTTTACTTTTCTCGTAGAAGGAAAGAGCAACGAACAGTCATATCATGGGTAGCGTATTTTCAAATCTATTTAAAGGCCTCTTTGGCAAAAAGGAGATGAGAATTCTCATGGTTGGATTAGACGCTGCTGGTAAAACTACAATTCTTTACAAACTTAAGCTTGGAGAAATTGTTACTACGATTCCTACGATAGGTAAGAGTGTTACTGTTGAACGCTTTGCTTCGAGCCCGTCTCACTTCCTGTTGAATTTTCGTTATAAAAAAGACTTTTCTTTGGCCTACTTCTTACTAATTATTATACCTTTCCCCGTTAGGTTTTAACGTAGAAACTGTAGAATATAAGAACATAAGTTTCACTGTGTGGGACGTCGGCGGTCAGGATAAAATTCGACCATTATGGAGGCACTATTTCCAGAACACTCAAGGTTCGTATCTTGATCCGCCATTGGAAATTTTCTGACATTCTTTTTGGATCTTAGTAGCAATTTGTGGAAAGTGGAGTTCAATGTGTTTTTTTTTTTTTTTTTTTTTGGTTTTTTTTTTTTTTTTTTTGTAATTTGGTTTTTAATTTTTTTTTTTTTTTTTTTTGTTTAGGTCTTATCTTTGTGGTGGATAGTAATGATCGTGAACGTATCGGTGAAGCGAAAGAAGAATTGAATAGAATGTTAGCAGAGGATGAGCTCAGAGATGCAGTCTTACTCGTCTTCGCCAACAAGCAGGTAAATGTTTTGCCCCTTTATTCGAGTCATTTTCAAAAGATGATCTTTTTAAATTTTTTGATTATATTGTTAGCGATCTTTATAGGTAAAACGATTCTTGGGGTAGAATGATTTGTTATTACGAAACATTCTATTGGGTCGAAGGAAAATACAAACTAATGCCAAATATCTCTTTCAAGCATATCCATTGATTAACCTTCTCGTATCAGCAATTTTTTGGCGAGAAAACAAATTCTTTTTCTTATTTCCGATCTTAAAATGAAATTGCGAAATGGGTAGTCACCCCGTAACTTATCCTTCAAACTAAAAAGACTGCAATACATTACGTAGAAACTTGTGCAATCAAGTTGTTCATGGTTAGATATTGATTGTGGTAGTTGTATAATTTCAAAATCACGGAAAGCAAAATGCTTGATCTTCAGAATGTAACTGATGTCGTGGTTTAAAAATCATAGAGCTAATGTTATGTATTGGGCACCCAAAGAATGTTTGGAATTTAGCGTCCTTGATTCGTTATTCCCTACAGTGGTATTATTTACCTCGTTCGCTTGAGTAACTTTTCAAAGAAAATATAGCATAACAATGATCTTTAAAATGTACATAATATTAGGTTGATAAAAGATGAAATAATGAAGTTAAGGGACCGATCATTTATTATGTCCCAGGGGGGGTGGTGGAAATATGGGGGGGTACATTTTTAAAACCAGTATTTAGTATTGTTGAAGGGGGAGGGGTATGTTTCCTATTTAATGATTTTAGAGGAGGCTACAAATTTCATTTCATTTTTTTGCAAAAAAACCATGC